ACATTTTGGGCATCAAACACAACCTCTTCTAATGAATTTTTTTAGGTAGGCTCTAATTTGGTTGTTTAGAGCCTAAGCTCTATGTAAACTTTATCTTTATAATAATAATAATGACCCAGTTTCTATGCGGCCAAGCCCGCATATGTAGAAATGCATGCTTCTTAATAAATCTATTTTTGAGATGGATTTTTAGGACTTAATTTTTAAAGACACATAATCTCTAATATGGAGATCATGAATATGAAAAATAAATAAATTTTAAAAGCTTGAAATAACAATTCTAGTAAGAAAACATTTGGACCGTTAGTTTCTATTTTTTTTAGATGGAACACCTACTTGCATCTATATTTAAGATGGATGCTTTACACTTTCTAGACCGCATATGTAGAGATACGGTCTAGCCCACATGATACAATTTTTCTAATAATAATAATAATAACAATAATAGTAATAATAATATTCTTAAAATTAAAAATGATAATTTTTTGAAAAATGATTTATATCATTAGTTTTAGGATATTTTGATGCCAAAATATCCTAATTATTCATCTCGACATCAAGATGCATGGACACGAGAAAAAAATTTATTTCAAGTTTTGAAAATAGTACAACTTGTAATGCATTTTTGGATGGTCATTTTTCAAAATTTTCAAATTTTCATATATCTACTCGATCTACACTAGTTCTGAAGATTTAAGTTTTAAAATTAAAGATGAAAATATATTTTAAAGTTATCACAAAGATTTCATGTATCGAAACCACATTCCCAAAATTATTTGAAGGTACGTTTTACTTTGATTGTTTAGAGCCTCGTCTCTATACAAACCGCTTAGTTTTAACTTTTTTGAGTGACCGCCTATTTGATCCATCTTTAAGAGGGTTATTTTATGACTCGGGGGATACAAATGTAGACCTACGTCCCCCCAAGCATACAATATTTTTTCTATAGATATTAAACCTTTTCCTTGATATATAGTTTTAACCAAATTAATTTGGTAATAATGGAAAATTTATCAAGATGAGCTATTTAACATTTTACTTATATCGTATGCTTTAATTTCACCTTCATAAAGTGCATGATCATGAGTTGGAATGGAAGCGAATATATATAATGTTAAATAATGCATCTCTCGAGTATTTCAATAAATTTTTAGGTAATAAATTATCTCTTCGTTAGCAGTATTATCCATCATGGAGTCATTTGGTATTTTATTTTTTGAAAAATCTATTTTTACTTTATTCAAAATAATTTAATAGAAATTATATATTTTTAATCCGAATAGCTAAAATAATTAAAAATCATAAAAAATAATTATATAACATTAAATATATAAGATAATATATCAAACAGCAAACAAAATAATATTATCAAGAGTAATATTAATTTGAAATAAAATAATTTATTCTAAATATAAGTAATTGTCATCCAAAGTACCTGCCCTGAAATATAAAGCAACGAATGAACTTAAAGCCTGATCCTCCCTTCCCCATCTCTTGAGGGTTAAATAAACCGGACTCTGTTTCTTGCTCTATCTCTCTCTCTAGATTTAAAAAATCTAAAAGCTTCAAGGTAATGGGTGCAATCAAACATGCCCCTAATTTATGTCTAATCGAGTTTTAGCCGTTTTCGAGTAATTTACATGTATATAATTTCCCTTCTAAATTTTCATTTTTATGTTCATACCTATTTTGTTTTTTACCTTTTTTTTATTTTGAACAAAAGTACCCCTACTTCAAACTCTAAAGGTTTGAAGTTTTAACTTTTTTCTGAAAAACAAAATCCAAATACAAACTGTGAACCATGAAGTCCAAAGTGTACTTTAAAAAATAAGCTTACTTTAAAAAATAAAGTCAAAACAAACTTCGAACCTTCAGAGGCTGAAATATTGCTTTTGGTTTAATTTTTTTTCAAAAACAAAATCAAAATTCAAATCTATAAGGTGAAGTTCGTATTGAGTAAATATTTTTTAGAAACAAAATTATACTTCACAATTTCAAGATCCAAATTAGGGACAATTTTTGCCAAAAGCAGGTACAAACATAAAAATGGATATTTGGAGGGAGTGTTTTAAATAATTTTAAATTGGTGGGTATGCACGTAAATTTCTCTGGTATTTTTAACTTACGTGGAAATTCCTTGCTGTATATTTCCAATCTTTGATTGATGTTGCATATTCCCCAAAATAAAACCGTTTCCAACTCAAATGTTTAATTGCCATTTTTCGTTATTAATCAGTAATAACTAACATAATAGAACTACTTGGGTCCAGCCAATGTTGCAAACTTAGGTGGCCCTTGGGACCATTCTTAAGATACCATCTTCCAACATGTTCAAATGCATAATAACCGGAGGTCCAAAATCAAGTGGCTGCATTTAGAGGAACAAAATACGAGTTTCAGCGACCATCATCATCCTAAACTATTTGGGGTTGGCCACACGAATCATGTTCCACTCTTACCCTAATTCAAACGAACAGGGTTAGATCGGGATTCATGATAGGGTTGTGGCAAACATTTTCCGCATGCTGTCAACCTAACAACCCTTCTCCTTTCTCATCTAGGCTTGGGACCGATCAAAAACTTTATATAACGGAGTAAAAACTAAAAACATTATATTACAAATATTAACATTATAGGAAAATACACCTCCACCTGCGAATTATAATTCAAATCAGCTGCAAGTCAAAAGGAAAACTGCAAGAAACATGTACAAATTACAACCTTAGAATAACTAATAAAACTGAGAAGTAGGACCATATATATTTATTTCCAAAGAATTGAAGTAAAGTTTGTCCATAATTGCTTGCAGAGGATATATAATAGTTGTAGGCAGTTAAGAACCTTTCAACTAGCGTAGCTTTAGTGCTATGAAAAACTGCTCTCAAATTTGAAAAAGAGACAAAAAAATCATATTTCTAATTCATATGGAACAAAATCACACCAGTGGACAGCAAATCATAGGGGTAATGATGTTTTAGATACTTTCATCACATGGATTTAGTGGATAGTTGCAGTTATGTTCTTGGATTCGAAGGACAGATCAATATCCAAACAATTGTTAGAAAATAAAGGGAGTCTGATCATTCAAAACAGACCAATGCAACTAGTTTATACATACAAATCAAAGTTCTAAGCTTCGCTTTGCTTTCGCCAAGAGCCCAAAGGCTTCAACTATGGCTTCTTCCCCGAGCAAAACCACACAATGAATTTCTTCAGCTTATGCCTCCTGGTTCTTCTGACACCGCTCCAGCCTGTTCAGCTCATATCCACTAGGACAGCTTTGTCAATCCCATTGGGTGAAAAAATATTATTTATTTATTATTTCATTTTACAGTGATGAGAAAAATTAGGGCCAAATATCTACTCCTTGGATAACTTAACCCCATCTATCTATATGGAACTTCCATATCTATATGGAACTTCCAAAGAAAGCAGAAACCCTTTTCTTCAATACACATTTTGAGTTTCCCCCAAATTCAGACCCTAGAAGTCTCACATAAAGAAGTCCTATGTTCAGAATTGATATACCCAGTATAACTGAAACAGGGTCCAAAACAGCGATGAAGCCATTGATTCCTATTATGACAAAATAGCCTTTTTTAAATCCAACATTTATCTTCAATGTCTGTCTTACCTCTAGCCTTGGTATTACATCTTGATATGAACAATGTACATTACAGTCACACTATTCAATTATCAATTTCTGTTATTGTTTGGCCAGCAGAGTGAGGGACCATACATTCTTTAGGATTCCAGAACCCTGATCAGATATGAAAACTAACTGTACTGACAACAAGAAATTCAAATGAACACTGGTTTCTTCACGTGTATGTATTATATATCCCATTCTAGGGACTTCTTCAATCTGTTTATGCAGAAAATCATTCAAGTCAAGCCATTGGTAATTACAGTGATTCAACAGGGAAGGTTTAGAACTAACGGAACAAAGGGATTGTTATAGAACTCCTAATGAAAATGAAATTTTCATAACACTATTTGTCAATATTTCCCATAATAAAAATAGTAGAACCTTAAATATCTAAATTTACTTCAAATTCATATATGATTGAATGAACTTATGGAGAAATAGATGTTCTGCACCCATTGGCGAAAGCATAGTCGATGGAATCAGGAACGAGACCAAAGACGAGGATTAGGATACGAAGCAAGGGATTGTTACGCTAGAAGGTCGCTATGGCTGTAAGTCGTCTGCTGAATTTTCGCGAGGCAAATTCAGCAGCAGATAGCCTTTTTAAGGATGGAGCTCTTTCAAGAAGCACAACCACGGCCTTTCTTGGCACCTTTTTGAGCTCAGGCCCTAGAGATCTCTTCTTCACCTCCCTAAATGGTTGCTCTGTAATTTTTGTTTGTAAAAGATGTTTTTGGAGATGGTATTCTTCAGTGTTGCTTTGTATCGAGCACCCAACCTGTTAGTTGCTCCTACCTCTTTAGTTACTGGATCTAGTCTCTTTTAATACAAACAGTGAATTACTTCAAAAAACAAACAAAATAGGATAACTACTATTTTGGATGAATTTTACCACAAATAATAGATACATGGGTTGAAGAATGTGTCACAAAAAATGTGCACATATAAAAATAAAGTTAGCAGGATGGAGGCTCAAACCCTAGACCTCTCTCATGCAAACAAGGTTCTCACCATTAGTGGCCCAGGTGTAAATCAGATCAACATTCATTGAATAAGTTACCCAATACTTGAATAAGAAAAATAGATAAAAAATAGATGCACAGATCAAGTCATCTATCAAAAGAGGTAGGTCTGCTTGGTTTGGTTGTTGGTATATACTTCAAGGCTTCGAACACTAGAAATCCCACACGCGAACTTGGTTTCTCACCATTAGGGCTAAAGCCTGATTGACTAGATCAAAAGTACATCACCATTGGGGCTAAAGCCCAATTGACTAGATCAAAATTACAAACATTAACTCTTTCAAATGCCTGTAAATATGGTGCAAATATGGTGCAAATTAAGAACTGTGTTAAAATAATATTATAATAACATAGTGGGAGATAAACAAAGGTTCCTGGTCTGAACACCATGACATAAGTCTTAATTAGAGCAATATACATAGTATCACACAAGCAAAGATAACACAAGAAATGAGAAGCAAATTTTTGCAGGCTAATTCACTAGGCCTCCATTGTCATTGCTCAAATGAAATAGTGGCTGGCTTTCTTTCTTCTTTTCTGAGAGGAAGGTTGGTGATAGAAGTTTCACTGATGAAAACCAACTAACTTACATATATAGAGAGAGTTGGTATAAGCAACACTGATACATTAGTAACAACATGTGATTGCATTCTTTAAGTGCAATAAGATGAAATAAAACACCAAACCTGACAACTATTAACACTGGCATCTAAAATTCCTAAAGGTTAACTGCTAAAACCCAAAAAACTACCAACTTTCTCAGAGCCATTACATCCTATGCAGCCACAATTTTCCCAGATAATGAACTTCTTTGATCCCTGTAGAAGCAAAAATCATATATAAGAAGGAAAACAAGAAACACTGAATATAAAAACTTAAATGAATGAACGCGAAAACGAACGGAAAATGGAAAATTGATAAAAAAAAAAAGAACAATTTTCAATATCAGGTCCAATAAACGGTGTAAAAGGATCACAAGCGAAGAGGGTAGGTCGATAAGGCTGAAAATCAGAAACAGAATGCCGGCGATAGCCTTCAAGATTACTTGATGGGTCCGACTTTTCACATTATAAGCTATGATATTCTCCTCCTTCAACATCCAACGGATGAATAATGTATCCCCCATTAAGAGAACTGGTCTCATATGATGATGCATGATATCAAGACTTGAGCTTAACGTTTTCATGTTAGACTCAAGATCCAGTTGCATCACCTGAACCCAATTATTCTCTTCACTTAAAACCCATATTTTCAGTACTAAACCTTCAAGTATTTGCACAACAGAGACTCGACTGTTCCATAATTGGATTTGAAAGAAATTGCTCTTGTCCGCATTATCCGGAGTCAAGATTTGATCCCAGGTCACTCTCTCTACATCAAAACTACCACTTTAGGACCATCATGATAGATAATATAGAAGGTATTGCCAATACACACCTTTTTTTTCCCATAGCGGTGGTAGTAATCACACAAAAGCTCCAGGCTGTGTATTGGTATCTCTTGAATTGGTCTCCAATTCCTTGCTATAGAGCAAAACAAGAACCATTCACCCAATTGAAAGGCAGTATCCATTGATGAGTACCCAAAAGCCATCTTGAAATTTCGAGAGATGGGGTCGAAAACCAGCAGTCAACAGTATAAAGTATTTGCTTGGTCCAGGAAGAGCAACGAATTTGCCAGTTGCAGGGTTGCCTACGAAAAGATCAAAAGAGTCCAGGTCTTGAAAGCACACCATGCCCTGGCTGCAAGGTAAGTCTGATGGCTTGGCTTTTGTATGAAATTTAAGTGTTTGGGGGCAGAGTAAGAGGGGAAGAGAGAGAAAGTTCTCTTCGAGAGAGAAAGGGGTTGGGATGGAGGACTGTAACAGATGAGGTTCTGGAGCACAAGGAGAGGGAAAGTTGTAGAGACAGGGGAAGAGGAGAGAGAGTGGGTGGTAGCGAAAGAAGGGGACGAGAGAAATGAATTCCATGCTTTTGAAACAGATTTGAACCTTAGAATTGATTCAACAGGTAGCAAGGAGAGGATTCTTATCATTAATTCGCGTGGGAGATCAGTAGAGAGAGAACCCATCTCGGATCTACCACTGCTACAATTCCCAGAGACAAAAGCCAGAAACCTGAGAGCAACAAAAACTTCGATAAAAAAACTCTCTTTCTCAATCTAATAAAACCTCCCTCTCACACACCAGTCATAGGACTCGTAGAAATGAATCCCTTCTTTGAATTTCAATTTTGACAATAAATTTTAGATTTAATTTTTTTTGGTAAGTAATTATCAATTTAGTTTCAAAAATTCACTTTGAAGCATCTGTGATCAGGAAGTACATAGACATGAGAAAAAAAATAGATTTCAACTTTAAAAAATATTTTTTGCTCAAATTTAAAAAATAATGCATCTTGTATTACATTATGTCGATCATCAATTTTCAAAATTTTCAAGTATTATTTATATATATGTTCGATCTACACTATTTTTTAACCTTCAAATTTTATAAAGACAAATATATAATGAGATCATTTACCTTTTATACAAAGTGGCCCCAATTAATCTTGACTGTTAGATGTGAAAATGGGTGGCTGTATTTATTCCATTGACCAAGCTCAATATTGAAAAGAATTTTTTTCGAATGACACACCTAAGCTATTAGATTTCGCATAAAATGTTCCAAGTAACCATGACCTCCCAATATTAAAGGCAAATAGTCTCATTATATACAATCCTATTTCATAATTAGATGTAAAAATAAATTTTTAGACACTCACAACAGAGATTTTCAATACTGAAATAATATCTATTGACACTACTTAAAGATGCAACTTACTTTGATTGTTTTGGTACCATATCTTTTGAGAGAGAGAGAGGATAGAGTCATAGAGAGGAGGGAGAAGGGAAGGGGGGCCGGGTGGTGGGTTCATACAGAGGGGGTTCATATAGAGAGGGGGGCAGGAAGAGCAGGGTGAGGAAGGAGGTTAGATAGGGGGAGGACAAAGATGTTGCTGCTCTGCATAGTTACAATATGGTTTTTTGCCCCCCTCCGAACAAGTCATGGGAGTAGGCGTGCCTGATTTTACGTAAAATTTAAGTATTTGTTATCTTAAAAATTGAGATAAAACTTGGATGATGATAATGATCTAACATTTTAAGAAGGCAAAACTAAAATGATTTCCTTTGAGGATGCTGGAATGGAGAGGTTACATTTCTTAAATTTGGGGTCTTAGAATTACTCAGTTTTACATTAGGGAGCTTGTCTCCGGGAGCACACGATTTTATTTTTTTTGAAGGCTGGACTGCATGGTTGGGCTGCACCACAAAATGTTATTCCTTGAAATGGTTGAGCTTTTCAATTAGATTTAAAATGTTTGCTTTCTCATCTATGCTTGTGACACTTTGTTCTTTTATCATCTTGTAACCATATAGGCAAATATAGCAGTCTCCATCATCTTTAAAGCCATTTACACTGCTGGAAATAGGTAACATACACTATAATATCTCTGTGCTTCCCATTTTGAACCTGATTCAGTAACAGTATAATGTTGGCATTGACTACAGTATACGATAATTGAAATGTTCATAGGCTACTTTATACTCTAAATCAGACAAAATTATACTGTAACAGTCACCTTCCTTGGGACTGGAACCTTAGTCCTGCCAACCTAGTGGGTGTGTCCAGGTCCGTGGACCTTATCCGAATCTAGATCTGCCCTGGATGTAGCCTTGTCATGTTGGGGCTGATTCGAAAACGACCCATTTACACATCGTATGTCTCTTGTGCTATCGGAAAAGATAACGACTATGCAGATAAAACTTTGTACATCTTAGGCAAAAACCACTCTAGTGAACATTCCTTATCCGGCATACAGGGCCGTTTAGGAGCCTGGAAATAGATCTTCTCGATATGTATTTTGGCAATTTCACATAAATTTGGATTCAATCCTACGCGTACTCCCCTAATACACTTTGCCTAAGTCTAACAAAGCAAATCTCTTTCTGAATTGGTCCGACACTTCGAGTGACAGACATACATGGCATAAAACTAATTCCGATACTTGCACTGGACCAACATTATTCCAAAGAAACTAGCATGTTACTTCAGATGCCATGCAGACTTCTCAAAGGAATGTGCACTCATATGAAGTCTATGCAGCCCAAAACTTCAAGTATTGGACCCTGCATATTTTGGGTAAAAACTAAAAGGAAAGCTTTCCTTGACCCTGCCCACATACAATGTATGCCAACCCACTTCTGAGCACACAAGGCTGAGATTACTATTCTTAAAGTCTTTGTAATCAAGGTCATCAAGTTTGATTACAATGCATAAATGCTGCGATTGTGGTGGCTAGGATTTTCATATAAATTAATCGATCACCATTTCCATTTCTTAAGAGCAATATTAACATATTACCTCATTATATCCACCAACTGCTATATAGCTTCCAACATGTTGAAATGCATAAAAACCCAGAGTCATTCATAAATGAAAGCTTAAACCCCATCAAAAACAAAATTGAACCAGAGTCATTCACAAATGAAAGCTTAAACCACATCAAAAACAAAATTGAACTTCAAAATTAGATTCACTGAATCAAGTGGAAAAGCAATTACAAACTCAAAACCCTTCGCAACATAAAATACTATATTTGCTCATACAATTTATGTAAATGCCTTCCACGAGGACCTTACCACTAGTGATTAAGAAAATGGATTTCCTAGAAATAACACTCTCTGTGGAGACCACCCGGATAGGATCTAACTAACGTCAATTTCGAATTTTGAAAGATGCTCCCTCGGCAACCCAGGTTCCCCTGGGATTAGGGGTAGTATGTTTAGGGACCACAAGTACAACATCCTGCTGTCCTTTTCCAGATCACTTGATCATGCCAACTCTTTGCCGGCTGAGTCTACTGTTCTTCTTGAGGACCTCAGAAGGTTTAAACAACTTTCCAGCCCCATTTTGATTATCGAGTGGGACTCCAACAGATAGCCTTGCTAAGGAAGGAGCTTTTTCAGGAATTTGGCCCCGGAGATCTCTCTCATTTCTCTAAATGGTTGCTTTGTAAATTTTTCTTGGAAAATTGAGTGTTGCTTTGTATCAGACCTAACCTGTGGGTCGCCACAACCTTTTTTGTACTGGATCTTCTCTTTTAATACAAACAGCGAATGACTCAAAAACAAATGCAAGAAAATTACAATTGAGTTTCAGATGATTTTCACTACAAAAAAAGATGAATGGGTTCAAGAATGAGACACAAAATGTGGACAAATAAAAATACAGGTACAAATGAAAGAGATAGGGGGGAGGGGGGGGGGGGGTAAATGAAAGCAACACTAGCTGGATAAATTGCACAGTACTTGAATAATAAAAACAAGTGCACAGGTCAAGTCATCTATAAGAAGGGGAGGCCAGCTTGGTTTAGTTGTTGGTATATTCTTCAGGGTTCGAACACTTGACCTCCACCACACTTACCTGGTTTTCTACCATTGCAGCTAAAGCCCAATTGACTAGATCAAAATTACAAATATAACTACTTTAAACACCAAGTCAATATTGTGCAAACTAAAAATTGTGTTAAAAATAGAAGAAAATAACATAGCGGAAGACAAACAGAGGTTCTTGGACTGAACACAATGACATAAATTCGAACTAGAGCACTGTACATAGGATCAAACTAGCAAAGACAACATAAGAAAAGAGAAGCAAAAGTTTGTAGGCTAAATCGCTAGGGCCTCCATTTGTCACTGCTCCTCAGGATGGAAGCCCTTACTTCCCCCTCGTGTCCAATTCTTCTCCTGGCTGGTTTTGTGGGGAAGAAACCTCACGGTAGACCAACTCAAGAGACTCGGTTTCCAGCTTCCCAATAGATGTGTGATGTGTCTATCGGAGGAAGAGACCAACTATATTCTCTTGCATTGCCCAGAGGCCTTCCACCTTTGGGGGGAGATCCTGGCTCGCTTCCAATGGGAATGGGTTAACCCCAAATCCATACCCGACCTCTTCAATTTATCGGCCCTCTTACCTTGGCCAAAAGCAGGTTGTCTACTTTGGAAAGCCACTGTGGCAGATACCATCTGGTCAATCTGGAAGGAACGCAGTCTTCCAAGGGATATACGCATAGGTCCACAAGATATTGGAAACAATCAAGGGCCTTGTCATCTTCTGGGCCTCCAAGCTCAAACACGTCAAGGGATTGGCAGGTCACAATTTCCGACTAAATTGGACCACCCTTCCATCCTTTAGGCCATGCAGGATCCCCCGCTCTACCCTTTGGCGTCCACTAGAGACGGGGTTCATCAAATTCAATTTCGACGGATCATCCTTGGGCAACCCCGGTCCTGCTGGCATAGGCGGCATCTTCCGCGACCACGTTGGCATCACCCTCCTCTCCTTCTCAACCTCCATCGGGATCACAGATTCCACAGAGGCAGTGCTTTGCTTGAGGGGTTAAGGCTGTTCAATCCTAGTTGGGGGCCTTCACTCATCTTCGAAGGGGACTGCAAGAATGTCATCCATTGGGCTTCCCACTTAGCCCAACCACCTTGGAGATTGCGGCACATTTTTTACAAAATTTACACTCTTTGCAGGCGTACACAGGTCTCTTGGACACGTATTTGGAGGAAGGCCAACCACACAGCTGACGAACTCGCTAAACTTGGCGCTACGATGCAGTAACAGTGTCCTTGGGAGGGTGCCGTTCGTTGGGATTTTTGGGTTCCCTTTTCGGTTTTGGGCTTTTCTTTTCAGTGGTGTCACCCCTCTCAGTGACTTTTGTAACCCGCTTGGGGCTTTTGTTTCTTTGTACTCTCTTTACCATCAACACAATGTCAACATCATCCAAAAAAAAAAAGATGGTGGCTGGTGTTCTTTCTTCCTTTATGGAAGGAAGCTAAACTTTATATCAATGCAAAATGCCCTACCTTTAAGTGCGGTCTGAAGAGCAACAATTCTTTTTGGGTTATTGCGGTTTCCATTCCCAGTGACACCACCCACTAACACCTTAAAAAAAAAAACAACTCCTAAACTATTTGAAAAAAAGGGTAGGGACACCCAACAAAATTTGCAGACAAGAGACCTAGGAAAATACCAATAATGGCAACAACTAAGATGGGCATCTAAAATCCCAAAAGGCTAACTGCTAAAACCCAAAACAACCAGCTCTCTGAGAGCCATTACATCTTACCCAGATACAGCTTTCCCGGTAATGAACTTCTTTGACCCCGTAGAAGCTAAAATCGCATATAAAAATGATAGCAACAGACACTGAATATAACTTAAATGAACCAAAAAAAAAAAAATACAATTTTCAATACCAGGCCCAAGAAACTACCAAATTTACCGTCTGAAGCGGATCACAAGCTGAAGAGGGTAGGTCGATAAGGCTCAAAGTTGGAAACAGAATGCAGGGGATAACCTTCAAGTATTAATCGATGGGTTTGATTTTTCACATTATAAGCTATGACACTCTCTTCCTTCAACCTCCAACGGATGAATAATGTATCCCCCATTAAGAGAACTGGTCTCATATCATAATACATCATATCTAGATTTGAGCTTATGCTAGATTCAAGACCCAGTTGTATCACCTGAACCCAATTCTTCTCTTCACTTAAAACCCACATTTTCAGTATGAAACCTTCAAGTATTTGCGAAACAGAGACTCGGCCATTCCACAATTGGATTTGAAAGAAATTGTTCTGGTCCGCATTCTCCGGAGTCAAGATCTGATCCCAGGTTTTTCTCTCTACATCAAAAGCCACCACTTTAGGACCATCATGACAGATGGTATAGAAGGTATTGCGAATACACACCATTTTTTCTCCATAGCGGCAGCGGCAATCAAAATACGGCACCAGGCTTTGAATTGATATCTCTCGAATTGGTCTCCAATTACTGGCAATTGAGCAAAACAAGAACCATTGACCCCCTTGAAAGGAAATACCCATTGCTGGGTATCCAAAAGCCAAAATCTTGAAATTTCGAGAGATGGGGTCGACATCAAAACCCGGAGTCAACACTATGAAGTATTGACTTGGTGCAGGAAGAGCGGCGAAGTTGCCAGTTGCAGGGTTGCCTACAAAAAGATCAAAAGATTCAGAGGAAGCAAAGTCTTGGAAGCACACCATGCCCTGGCTGCAAGCTAAGTTTGATGAATCGGATTTTGGCTGAAATATAAGTGTTAGGTGGCCAGAAAAAGTGGGGTTAGAGAGAGGAAGGGGTTGGGATGGCGGAATGTAAGAGATGAGGTGCTCGAGCACGAGGAGAGGGAAAGTTGGAGAGAGCGCAGAAGAGGAGAGAGAGTGGGTGGTGGCGAAAGAGGAGGAGGAGAGAAGTGAATTCCATGATTGGGAAACAGATTTGAACCTTAGAATGGATTCAACAGGGAGCTGTGAGAGGATTTTAATCATCAAATCATCAGGGAGATCAGTAGAGAGAGAACCCATCTGAGCCACCACTGTTGCAATCTCTTGAGTGAAACCCTATCTGAGGGCTACAGAAACATTGATGCAAAAACTCTCTCTCTCTCTCTCTCAATCCGTCTTCTCTCTATTAAACCCAAGAGAATGTCAGTTGAATCGCACTGTGCTGACCCTGAGAAGGGAACGTATGTCTCTAAGTAGGTACATGTGTCTCAATTCCTTTGTTACAAACATGCATACAGATATCAAAGCCTTTTTAGGACATATGTCTTGCACCCTTTATTACAGCCACACACATGGGCAATTTGCCTATTATTAGATGAGCTTTTTGACATTTTAAATAAGGGAAAATCTTATATTGAGCCAAGGCTCTAAACAATCAAATTGGGGCCACCTCAAAATTTCACACAGCTGGGCATTTAGCCTTTTATTAGTTCAGGTTTTTGACATTTTAAATAAGGGAAAAGTTTATATTGAGCCAAGGCTCTAAACAATTGCCCCCCCTTAATAATTTACTTTTGAAATAGAATTTAATCCTAAGATTTAGGAAATAAATAATCTTTAACATGGAGATTATCAATCTGTAAAAATAAATAATTTTTCAAAACTAAAAATGGTATTTTTTAGAAAAAATATTTGAACCATTAATTTTACTTATTTTTTTGGACGACTACTATTTATGGGGATCCGGTTTTGGTGGACGGTGTAGATCTCCAAGCCCGCATGCATAGTAACAGGTTCAGATTTGGATGCACCAAACAATTTTCTTTTTATAAATGTACTCAACAAATTTTGGACACCTATATGAATTTATTTGATGCATAAAGTATTTTTTTTTAATAAAGATATTTTTGTTTAGGAAAAAGTTTTGATCTTAAAATGTAGAAATAAAAATGCACCTCAAAAATCTATCGGATATGGTTGTTTTAATGTTGAAAATCCTCTAATTGATCATCTCGATATCGAGATGTATGAATATATAAAAAGGGAAAATTATAGAACCCACCAATTTCAACTTTCTACATATCTTACCCCCAAATACTTTTTGTATTATACTCTAGACCCAACACTATTTTTCTTTGTATTTACCTCAATAAAAAAATCAATAAGTTTTGAGACAAAATTACCATTTTTTTCTTTCTTCCCCTTTTATCTCTCTTTTCTCTCTACCTCTCTCCACCCATCCTCTCTCTTTCTCTCTCATTGTTTCTATCTACCCTCCCTCACTCTTTCTCTCTCTATCCTCCCTCACTCTCTCTCTATTTCTCACCATTTTTTTATGCAGTCTAGTGCAAAAACATGCCACCACAAAAATTTGATCCAGCAAAGAGTGTGCAAGACCACATTATGAGCAAGGGAGAAGTTGCCGCAATTTGTGTTGTATTATAATATAATGCAACCATACTTCTAGAAAATCATGTTTGTAGTATTTGTATGACCCAAAATTTTGCACACACACTTTCATCATCTCAATAATCAATGCCAAAGACAGAAAAATTCAATTTGAACTTTATATATGGTCAAAATGAATCCCCTCCAATAACGAATCTAGACTATTCATTAGGTGAATTTAAAGATATTAACCTTCACAAACTCAAAATTTTATTTTTCTTTTTTGTGATTGTTCATCTAATGATAATAAGCCATCTTTAAAATTTAGAAAAGAAAAAATCCTTATAAAGCCTAGATCGAGCATCTTATTGAAATGGACGGCCTATGTTAATTGGGCTAAAAAAATACTTTCTATCTTACATTTTCATATTTTTCTTTATTGTAACTGTTCATTAGAATAGAAATAGTGTATATTTTAAAATTAAGATCAAGCAAATGAGGTTTTTGAAGATTGTTGCATTATCTAGATATATATATGGAAAACACTACGCAATGCCTATAGACGAAACTGAACAGTGAGTTCGTCTGTCTATGCACATCACTATGTAAAGTTCATCGCACAATCACAATTGTCCAGTCGTGTTTCAATTTTCATTTTTTTTCTTTCTACAAATCGGAATGATTTAAAATTTGGAACATATGTTCATCAAAAATAAGAGAATCTAATAAAAATATAAAAAAATAATTCACAAATATAAATTGACCAAAATACCCCTAAAACTTTATGGGGGTATTCTGGTTAATTTATATTTTACGAAATATGATTTTCATATTTTTATTAGGTACATCTCAATAAGATGTACACACACTCCAAATTTCATATTATTCCAATTTATAAAAAAAAATGAAAATGAAAACACTACCAGACAATCGTGCCCGTGTGATGAACTTTGGACGGTGATGAACATAGGCAAAAATAAACCTATAAGCACTGAGAAGACTTTTCTTTTATATATATATATATGATCTTATAGGATTCTCTCCCACTCGTGTGTAAGACCCCCAAAAGATAATTTTTCTAGGGATTCACACCAAATTTAATGGTGATCTTTTGAGAACCTATACACATAGGTGGGGGAGGGTCCTATATAGGATTCTCTCCCACTCGTGTGTAAAACCCCCAAAAGATAATTTTTCTAAGGATTCACACCAAATTTAATGGTGATCCTTTGAGATCCTATACACATAGGTGGGGGAGGGTCCTATAGGATCATTATACATATATATATATATATATGAAAAATATTGAAATTAACCCACTCGCTTATATGAACATATGAACCCAACAGCCCAAATTGAATATGAACCGATTTGTCGATCACAGTCTTATTTGGTATTTTAATTTTAATTTATTTTTACAAATCAAAACAACTTAAAATTTTAAATGTGTATTCTTCTCATCAAAAAGCACCAAATAAAAATATTTTAAAAATAATTTGAAAAAACTAAATTGACCAAAATGCCCCCAAAACATTTCACAGGTGTTTTAATCAATTTATTTCTTGCAAATTATTTTTTTGATATTTTTATTCATTTCTCTTATTTTTTAAAAAATATGCACTTAAAATTTCAAATTATTTGAATTCATAAAAAATTAAAATTAAAATTAAAATTAAAAAATAATATAAGATCATGACCATCAAATCGACTCAGATTTAATCTGAACCATTGAACTCATATAAACACACATGTTCATATAAACTAGTAGACTAATATCATCATTTTCCTTAAAGCCTTAGACTGACACGAACCACACCCTTCTTATATATTATTTTAAAATTTCTTGGTCAAACTCCTTTTTCTGATATTTTTAATTTCTCCATGTCAATATTTTTATTACCGCACCATGCACGTAAAGGTCTATTGTTCACGAGTACATGGCAAAGTTAAGATTTTTTGTAACTACTCTGCATCTTGCGATGGATAAATGCTTAATATCTTTGCAAAGATATTTTACTAATTTTCCAAAAAAAAAATGCCTTATATTTATTTTACTTTCATGACTTAATTCACCAAGAGTTCTTTGAAAATCTTGATTTTTCTGGAAGCCTAACAATCTTAGAGAATGTTTAGATTGCAAAAACTATAGCTTTAGCATATGCTTAACCTTCATGTGATAATCACATGCTTAATTATAGTTTTAGCATATGCTTAATTTTCTTGTGATAATAGCTTGGATGTGTCACAAAATTCGAAAAAATTTCTTTGAACTTTTAGCTCATTAGAATAAATGCAGCCACCCAATTTCACATTGTTAAAAATAATTGTGACACCAAATGGTCGTATTGTATACTTTTTTTTTTTTTTAAACAATGCAAATAAAAAATTCAAAAACAAAAGCAAGCCAAGGATAAAACCCAAACCTTTGGAGCCTGTTTAATTTTCCATTCTTGTATAACAGCACAATCAGGACCCTGTCCCTTTTTCAATATGGTCCAAGTTTCAACCATTTTCTCCCAGTAAATCCCAAATAATCAAGAAAAAAAAATCAGCAAAATCAAAATCTTGGAAGCCATTTAACTTCCACCTTTCCATAACACAAATCAACTGAAATCATCCTGCCTCATTCATGTCAAAAGAACAAGCCCACGACTGATCAGCTGATTCTTTTCAATTATTTTTAGGACCAAAAATTAATTCTACCAATTCAAAAATGAAAAATAAGGCAGACTGGAGCAACTGAATCAAGGATATCATTTAAGCCGTTGCTGCTTTTACTGCTTTTTCAGCAGCATCATCTAAATCTTCGGCAGTGATCAGAGTTATCCCACTTTCCTGTTCAATTAATTTATTAAAAAAATATTGCCATTAACTTTGATTTTTCATAGAAACGGAAGATAGAATTTTCGATATCATAACTATTCAAAATAAATTTTGATTGTAACTAAAGAACTAACTTCTTATCCTTCTTAAAACAATGGAAGGACAGAACAGAGAAGTGGTCCTGGGGTTAACAGGTGTAAGAAGGCATAGTTGCACAACAACTGACCTGGCTTTCATGGTGAAATGAAGAGAAAATAAATGGGCACATCACATGGCCATGGATCATGTGGTACCTGAACCCATTCCTGGGTCTTTGAGATAAAAAAAAGAACTAGGAAAGGACATGGCAGCAAGAAAAACCATGCCACATTCAGAACAAGATCTTCCCCCCCCCCCCTCCCTCCCTCCTCTCTCTCTCTCTCTCTCTC